TGAATTATGCGCTCGTTGCATCAAGGTCATCGGTCGATATAGATCTTGAAAGGTAGCATTCCCAATAGTTGGCATTTCTTTATGCCAATGCACAACACGTCTACTCTAATGTTGTTTTTCTAAGGTACTTCCCGTTTTTATAGACGCACTACTTAAGCTTATATCCTTACACATTTTAATTTGTGATTTATTAATTTTGAAATATTCATTTTTAGACTGTTTTTTGTTATAGATTTGGATCTTTATAACTATACTGCATCTGCATAAAAAGAGAACATCTCCTTTTTGCACGCTCTATTTTCAACCCTTTATTACAAAATGATAAATCTTGATTTTATGCTTTTACTTTTAAAATTGCAAATCACATTAGTATGTTCTGGTGTCAGCTCGTAAAGGCAATGTGGTTGATTTTTTCTATGTTGGTAAAAGTAATTTAAATGATCTTACAGTATAGCATATTGTGCTATAACTCGGGTACTGAGAAAATAATTATTTTGGCTAGAACACTAAACAACAGAGTTTTAAGAAGTCTCAGCTAATTATTTCCTTTTTTTTCAAGAAATCAATCTGAAATTTTTTTTATATTGAAACATTATAATTGATTATATTTTTATAAGACAATTCATATTTAAAAATGTATTGAAAATTTAATAAGTTCTTCTGAACTTCAACTTTCAAAGTCTGGCTAACAACTTGAGAAGCAATTAAAACTTATGTCGTTGAAATATATTAATATATGGCAAATGAGTACCCGCAGATGGCAACGCCCATCGTAGTGTCATAATGAACCACAAGCATATCAGAACAGTTATGTCCGTACCCTCCAATAGACCATGACATCCTCCGTATTCATGAATAAGGTCCTTAGATATTTAACAATATTTTTTTTTAGTTTTAAATATTATCTTTCATTTGAATTTTAGCAGCGAATAACCTTTGCCCTCAATCAAATTGGGCGCGAGTTGTCTGCCTTACGATTGGTGATGAAAAAGTACACCAACGCTATGCGATCTGGATTGCAACTAAAAACAACAACGTTTTAATTGTATTAAAGGTATTTGTCCTATTTTGACAAGTCCTTAAGAGAACAATTAATAAAAGGAAGATGGATTTCGTAAACAGGATATTTTGCTTGAAAAACTAGATACACAGCCAAGTCAAAATTTAAAAAAAATGTTGTATCTTTAACCTTGATTAGATAAACGGGTAATTCTTATCTTAAATAAATAAGATTTTGAACGGTTCCACTTTGCTTCTGAGCGTAGAGTCGAGCCTCGGCTGACGCCAACCTTCGCCGCGGAGCCCAGACCCCCGCACTCGCCTCGTTGGCGGCGGCAAACCCGCGACCACCGATGGCGAGGCCCACGCGGTCAAGTGGGGTGTGCGTCGGTCGTCGCGGTGGTAACGGCGAGAGGTTGCTATGCGTCATCAGCGTGTGAACAGCAGAGCCACGAGATTTTTCTTGGTTTGTTCGAGCATCCTCAGAGTTAACCGTTTTGACCTGTCAAATCAAAATTTGTTCAAGGCAAACTTGTTAGACGGGTTTCCGGTATCAACAAGTGACATGAAAAGAAATTTGTCCTTCCTATAAAAAACCCTGCTGACGAGCGTGCAAGTCGTGTTGACTGCACATCCATGCAGATCGCATAGTCAGCATGCTGTTGGTGGGAAGATCTGTTGCACACATGAGTGCGTAACAGACCAACTGTCAATTGTTTAATGGCGGCTTAAGTGACATTGCGGACATGGGACTTATCCAACGTCGAAATAATCACCTTCGTGACGTTGTTTTTGCCACACGCCAATGACACTTGCCTAGCGGAATCTTTCTTTTGATATTCTTCTGGAAGCCCAAACAGCAATAGTCAGTCCAACATGTTGTGCACTGTAGTAGCGGTGCCTTGAGTACATGGTTATAATGGCAGATGGTTGCATTTGCAATCTGCTGTGAGTTGCATGTCTGTAGACATGGTATTTCCTAATCGCCATGTGGGGTAGTTATCGCCGACCACTGGTTGTGATTGGCATCCAGACTGAAATGACACACTGCTTTAGGGGAGATTAGTTCCAATATGTTTCAGTGTACAGTAACAGCGAGCATGACTGGTCGGTTGTGAACAAATATTATGGCGGCTTTACCCTATTTTTGGATGGGTAGTTTAGTGTGGTGGAGTCTGCATGCTTGCCAATGAGCTCGTCCATTTGGTCGACGGGATTATTGTGGTGCAGCGCCTTGGGTTTGTCTTGGCCGTGATACGCTTGATGCTTTTGATGTGGTGTTGCGTCGTTGTCACTTTGTGCGATTATTCGAGCCATTTGACTTGGTGGGATCGGTCTTTTTTTCTTGCTTGGGAATTCTACCAAGCTTCCTAAAATAATCGTGTGTAATATGAATTGGATTTCTAGGTTATAATAGTACAAGTTTGACATTGTTGCTTGCCCGCATCAAACTGGAAAATGGATCGTCCTAAACTTCCTAATGTTCCGCGATTGCGCCATCGGATGGCATCTTCGTTGTTCAGATGGACAGGCGCAGTAAAATGCTGGGACTCTTCATTCATGTCGTTGCTTTTAAGACACTCAGCAACTAATTTACTCATATTACTCTTGCGATAGAAACGTCTTGCCTCCTGTGTCGGAGAATGGTTAGGTGGTTCAGTCGAGTATTGCAATGGTGTTGTTTTGAGAAGGTTCTCGTGACCCTAGTGAAAGAAATTACAGTTTGAATGGATGCGGACAATGATAGGCAATGCAGTAGGAAGTGTACGGTGTAAGTTTCCTTGATTTTGGGTCAAGGAGGGTTGTTATTTTAAGTTAATTTAATGAAATAAATCTTGCTTACATTTGGAGGGGTACCAGAAATCATTGTGTAACAAATGTATTTGTAATGTCTGCGTGTTGGTCCTGATTTATGTGTTGTTTTAGTCCTATCTGATGGCCGCGTAAAATTTCTAACCGAATGAGCGGTAATAATGTTGATGGTTTTTTCGAGTTTACAAAGCAGATTTAACGAACGCGCTTTCTGACTTCGAATCGTCTTCTTTTTTTAGTGTATTCGTTGCGTCTATCCGTTTTACTAATGAAACTGCTGTAAACGTTTATTTCCTACAGTATTGCATTCTTAAACGGAGTAATTGAACATGCAGGACCTACCTGATTTCTTAAAGCATATTCGATCCCCTCTGCTCTGAAACGACGACAAAAATTGTGATTTTTTTCATCTATAGTTGGTGGGCCAACTTCACAGTGTGCAAACCAGTCGCAAGTTGAAACGCTAGTCTGTGTTCCTGTTGGGCTTGCTGTTTTTGGTCTCAAATTCACTTCCGTGTCATGAACAAACCAGTCGCATTTGCAAGTGTGAGATTTCTGTATTTCCTAAAAGGCACGTTTACATTGAATTTAGTCTGGCTTTGATGGAAACAGCAAACATGGAAGTACAAGTGTTGGGTTTTGTAAGAGCTTAAATCTTAACTTTAGCATCATCTTAATATTGATCACACAAGTAGGTAATCACAAAAATTTCGTTGACTTTAACTATGTATTTTGGCGCTGAGATCTTTAATTTACGACTCACTCTGACCGAGGAAATTTACGTATTGAATTTCAGGATGTGAAGTTAGGGGATGCTTGAGCCTTTTTATAGTTTTGGCTTAAGGATATTCCCACATTTAACATTTCCATAAACACTCGATTTTAACTTCAATAAGAAAAATAACTAATTCTCAGTTTACACAAGCCATACAGAATTTTCAAAAAAAAAATATGTTAAAAAAGGCCTACGGCTATAAAAACACTGTTAAGATTTGTATTAGTTGTAAGCCATCAAATTGGAAGTTAGCACGTTATAAAAACTAAGCCTACGTTATTTAAAGTAGTTTTTATTGTACTGGTCAACTCGGATAATCGTAAGCAAGGGATATATTAAATCATTTTCATGCTCGGTGTCAAATTAAATCCACTGTGATACTGTAGATGAAAATCCGGTTATTTCCTAGAAGGCTTCATTCGGGGATTAAACATCTGTTCCTGGAATCGTGCTTATCCAAGCTAGAACCTAACTATGCATTTTCACCATTTTTTAGGTGTTTGCATTATTTTGTACAAATTGTTCAGCAAATGTATCTAAAATAAAAAAAACAAGGGACCAAATTATTGAAATATTATCAGTCGTTTTCTATTGCCTTGCATGCGAATGCCGTCTCGAAAGAAACTTGCAGTCTTTGAGGCAATAAAGTAGTCGTCGCTTCAAGCTGTTTATCCGCTAAGGCTTTCTGCACTGACCGGAGCAAATGGTAGTCGAATGGGGCCAGATCTGGTGAATATGCTCGTGTGGCAGAACTTCCCATCCCAAATTCGCAAGACATTTCTGACTCGCGTTAGCATCAGGAGGACGCGCGTTGTCGTGCTCCAGTATGACCAGCCTGCTTGACTGCCCTATAAATGGCCTTTTCAAATCAACGCACGAGTCCAGGTTTTTTACTTTTCAGCTGCAGCGTTCAGCAGTCACCGTGTGACCATTTTGGTGGAGTTTGCAATAATATACGACCCTAATGTCTCACCAGAAACGCAGGAAAACCTTCTTAAAGTGGATATCCTGTTTCATCATCGATTTTATATGTTGCCCGGGATCTACTTAAGACTTTTTAGGGTTGGGGTTCTGTTTATCACAAAAGTCATGTTTTTTGTTGCCGGTGGGCAAGCAGTGAAAGGCAAATGTTCATACGTTGACATAGGTTGTGTTCGGTCAACAAGCATTTAGGTTTTTCCCATTTGGTGCAATCGCTTGGGAATGGGTGTTTGGGTGACTCCTAACTGAACTGCTGCAGCCTCTTGTTGCGATTGCGTCGATACTTTATCCAGTAGAGCTTGCAATTCTGCATCTCCGAACTATTGCCCACGCTTCGCGGAGCGCGGATGGTCACTAAGATCAAAAGCACCACTTTCATAACGTTGGTACTAATAATTACACGTTTCATGAGACACAACGCCTATTCCAAAAACACTACAAATTGAATCTCATGCTCTAGAAGCTTTTTAAATTGCTTTAATTTGTATTAAATGCAGTGCCATTGAATGTGCGCTTATCAGATGTCATCGAAAATTCTGCTGTACGGAGAGGCAGTGTCACTCACGTCGACTTGTCGTTCGGTGTTATGAAACCTTGTGTCCGATCCTTTCAAAAACACAAAAGACTGCAAAAGTAATTCTACTTTAAATATAATTTTAAGCTCGAAAATAAATCTAAGTAGATTAAGTCATACACTCGATAATTTTTTTAAAATTTATCCATGGTTTTCTTTAAAAAAAAGCGAAAATGAGAAAAATTAGAGTAAACTGGAACGTGTACAATAGAACTCCCACATACTTCGCCTTCACAAGTTTTTGTACAATGCTAATCGGAAACATATAACAGTGAAGAAATTATCTTTACATCAAGAATATAAGGTAGTAAAAGGCACATCTGATGTTGAAACCGATACTTGAATTTGGCACATTACAATTTTTTTCTTATTATTATTTTTTTCTTACGTGCTTTTTGCATGAAAAAAAGATGAACAGAACTATAATGTAAGGGTATTCCCGTGGATACTAATAGTATATCAGTCTACCAACGTGCTGGGTCATTAAGAACTTTAGCATTTGTTGATAAGACTTACGCTATAATATAAACGATTTGAAATTCCAATGATATCATGGTTAGTTTATTAGCTTAGTTCCAAAAATTTTTGTTTTAATGTGCGTACCGAATATTGCAAATGGTCCAAGTGGCACTTAACGATACCAGTTTCCAAATAATTGATTTTAAGGCCATCATTTTGCTATTAAAAAAAAGAATTTTAAGTAAATTAATCATCCAATACCACAAATAGGGGTTGCACAGGCGACTTTACTGCTAGCTTGATTTAGTTAAAACTACAGTAAAAGTTGTTAATTCATGCAACGAACTATTAATTCGAGCAAAACACCTTCAGGGAACCTGAAAGCAGTCATTGAAGATGAAATATAAGCTGATGATAATTTTGTTAAAGTAATTGGAGAATCTTTTAAGCGCATTCGTGGTTCCGAAGATCAGGATTCCTAAAAGACTTCAATTTCAAAAAATGCACAGACTTATTTCTGAAGGGGTCCTAAATCTTGATTTTATGATTTTCCTAACAGTCTAATTGAGCATTGCATTTTTCGTAGAATCATTCATTTGCGGTCAAATATGATTAGTCACGCATTAATCAAGATATAAAATTTTTGATTTTTATAAAAATATTGCAGGTAAAATGACTTGTCCTACATACTCCTACCTTTGCCTCTTTATTGGTACCAAATCTTTGGGCTCGTGGTTCAGATTTGATGGACGCATTGCCTTCAAAATCACTCCACTTGTCCGTTGACTGTATCATTCTTTGGGCGTTTAAAATGGCTTCTTCAGTTCGCAACCTTCTGCCCTTTAATGTCTCACTCACCGATTTCGGGTTTTCATTAGTGTTAGCCAACTGTCTTGCATATCCGACATTAGGCTTGTATTCATCTATAATCCCTGCGGCTTTGTAACTTACCGCCTGTTGGCCGCGAGGTCCACAGGCCGTTGACGAGGAGTCGTGGGCAAACCATGGTTCCGAATCACTTCTGCTTCGGGCTGCATTTTCAAGGGCAGCGGAGCGGCAGCTCTCCTTCTCTCCTGCAGCTGCTGACATTTGAAACAGATACAAAAAGTGGTCTTGTGTATTTTTGCTTATCAAAAGGTCGACGCTGTAACCTTGGCGACTGTCGCAAAAATCCAATTGGTTAGAGGTATTTGGTTGCTAAGGTACCGGGAGCACGTATATTTAGTTTTTGGCCTTCACCTATAGTTCCGTATTTAAGTTAGTGACTGAGCCAATTCAAAATACATACGTCCACCACCAACATAATTTTACAGAAAGGAAGATTATCACCTAGAGTAAAATTAAGATTCAGGGTTTGACTAGGGTTTAATTATCTATTCAAATTCGATCTGCATTTCGGGATTTTCCTACTGAAAAATATTCTAATATAATCAGGTCTAACTACGCATGCGTGTATTGAACATGCTCAGTAATGAGGGTTGTGTAAGATATGCCCCAATAATCTAGCCCAAAGCCACCACCCTACCAAACGAACAGTAATTTATATCTATGTTATAGTATTTGCGCTCCATTTAACTCCTATTAAAAGGCGCAAAAAATATACTCGCTTAGCACCCTCAAAAACATTTGCAACCGTTAGACGATTGCAACGAGGAGTTTCATGAAATCAAAATTTTTGAGTAAAGCTCTACAGAACTTGACAATGTAGTTGAAATTATTATGACATGATAGATTTAATGAGGAAAACTTCGATTATAGTTACACGATTAAAAACAAGCTTATAAAATACGAGTAGTGCTAGACCATTTTCGAGAGCTCTGCCGGTATTTCATCAATGATAACACCTCTCGACAGTATCTCTTGAATGTGTGCTCGAACTATTGACTGCTTTGAACGTATGACTTTTCAAAGACACTCTTCGGTACCCGGAAAAGATAGCCATCTGTTGGCAACGGATTCTGCAATCAGGCTTTTTGAAACAAAACAAACTGAAAACAAAAAAATTCCTTACATGAAATCTGCCGCTCACTGTCCCCCGTTCGGCAACCAAGGGCAGAACCCGAAATTGGCCTTATTACCAAAAACGCTGCGGTTGTTGGGCATTCGCAGTCGTATCAAAGGTTCCGTCGCACGACACCAGTGCCAAGTGGATAAGTACACAGAGCCTGAAGGATTCACCCAAGGAAACATTTCATCTATGCAAAAGGTGTTCTGGGATGCTCTTTTGGCATCACGTGTTCCCTGTCACCCATCTGTTGGGCTCAAGAAAGGTCTCCAAACCTGTCCACTTTTGATTAAACAACGTACACTTATGTCCAAAATAAGGTTAAGTCTAAAGTTAGGCGAGATGACCCCCGAATGTTTTATAGAGTTTATAAACAACTCAAATTAATTGTTTGCCTTTCTGCTTTAATTGTGGGCCTGGGGTTGTTGGTGTGGTGGCTCTTGTTATTTACAAAACGCCTAATGGAATCATGTCAAGTATGCATTACTTTCGCCAAAATATTCAATCGAAGGTACCAGAATGGCTTTCTATAATATCAATCTATTATCCGAAACTGTGATACAGCACAAGTTAAACTAACTTCAAAGCAAAGAAACAATAGACGACACACGCTACTTTTCAACTTTAAGTAACAGCTTTGCAGCATGAAAAAATCTAAAGTAGGAAATACGCGAAAAGAAACCCGGATTAGGAGTAGACGTGTAGTGCATTGGCATTAAGAAATGCCAACTATTGGGAATGCTACCTTTCAAGATCTATATCGACCGATGACCTTGATGCAACGAGCGCATAATTCAGGGGAAAATACTCAGGCAAACGACCAGACACAGTTTAGGATGGGACAACATTCCTTGCTCAAGACAACCTGTGTGAACCAGAAATCTGGTAGGGCGCTGAAAGGCCAGTAAAAATGTGCCATATAAACAGGAAGAGGAATACCTCCTCCGACTGAGCCGTAGATCCTAGTGACGGTTTCAGTCTGCCAGCACCGCTTTCCATTGTAAGCCTGTGCAAATCCTTTTCTAGCAGTGCCTTTTCCGACTGCAACCAATCAAAGCGTTTCTCACAGCTGTCGTATTCCTCTTTGCATGTGGGCATTCGAAAGAGTCCATATTTGTCTCCGGTCGAGGTCACCTGAGGTCCGTCGACCTTCGTTCCGGGGGTGGGAGGAACAGGACGGCTGGTAACTGCGCCTACATGAGGACCACCGAGATTCGTACTCATAGTTGTGCTCAGAGGCTGCCTTGGAGACACGTTTTGGTGTACCATGCGGCGTCTGGGCAACTGGGTAGAGGTTGGGTCTTGAGGTGATCCCTGGGGAGTTTGTGGTGGAAGAGGATGGTTCTGGGGCTACAAGAGCAGTAAAAATGCAAAGTTTGTGGATCGTCGCTCGAGAGCGTAGTCAAACTGCACGTGCATTGCTGAGTGACAAATACACAAAACTTGCTGACGAGCGTGCAAGTCGTGTTGACTGCACATCCATGCAGATCGCATAGTCAGCATGCTGTTGGTAGGAGGATCTGTTGCACACGTGAGTGCGTAACAGACAAACTGCTAATGGTGATGATGGAAGAAGAGAGATGGCAGTCGGTAAGTCTGACTGTCAATTGTTTAATGGCGGCTTAAGTGACATTGCGGACATGGGACTTATCCAACGTCGAAATAATCACCTTCGTGAC